TGTATAATGAGGGTTTGTTCCGTAGAATATTGGGAAAAATAGAACTTAAAGGGGCTTATAATTTTGACATTAAATTGGTGTTTAAAAAATTAAGAACTGCTTTTATTCTAGCCAAAATAAAACAAATGAGACTTTCTCCAGAAGAAAAAATATTATTTCCTTGCTCTGTTAAACATCATTTGGGAAATATTTCAATAAAAAATAAAAACAATTATATAAAAAACAATTTTATATATATATATATATATATATATATATATATATATATATTATAATTATGTATATATATTATAATTATTTACATGTGTGTGTGTGTGTGTGTGTGTATATAATTATTATATATATATATACAACATACATGACGCTTAAAAAAAAAAACATGTAAACCTCCATGCAACACCAACAGAAAACACATCATCCACCGAAAAATCACACACTCTTCTCATTCACTAACTCTGATTAACCAATTAGCTGCTGAGATATTTCTCAAGAGAGCCCTGCAGCCTTGAGCGCCTGAAAATGAATCTAGTCCCCAATGTTGTGTTTTTGAATACTCCATTCATGGCTGGATGCAGCGTGGATCCATGAGGGAATAATGTTGGCTTTTGTGTTTCCCCTCCCTCTCCTCCTCACAATGACAGATCCAGCGCTCTCACAAATAACCCAGATAAACCCAGAGAGACCCGTCATCTCGCTCAGCTCCGCACACAAGCTTTATATGTAAATTTCTTTATTATTTTCTCATTATAACCAATTAAAAATGTATGCAATCATTGGGTCCTTTGTTTTGAAAAAATTAACTTTTGTGAAATAATACTATACTAATACTGTACTGTACTAGTACTGTGCTATACTGTACCATGCTGCACTATGCTATACTAAACTAATACTGTACTATACTGCGCTATGCAATACTAAACTAATACTGTACCATGCTGCACTATGCTATACTAAACTAATACTGTACTATACTGCACTATGCAAAACTAAACTAATACTGTACCATGCTGCACTATGCTATACTAAACTAATACTGTACTATACTGCACTATGCTATACCATACTATACTAATACTACACTGTACTAATACTTCACTATACTATACTAAAACTTACTATACTATACTATACTAATACTGCACTATGCTATACTATACTATTGCTGTACTATACTGCACTATGCTTTACCATACTATACCAATGCTACATTATACTACTACTGCACCATACTGTACTAAACAGACTATACTAATACTGCACTATACTATACTAAAACTGCACAATACTATACTAAAACTCACTATACTATATTAATACTGCACTATACTGCACTTTGCTATACTATACTAATGCAGTACTATACTGCTTTATGCTATACCATACTATACTAATACTACACTATATTGTACTACTACTGAACTATACTATACTAAAACTCACTACACTATACTAATACTGTACTTTACTGCACTATGCTTTACCATACTATACCAGTACTAAATTATACTAATACTACACTATACTATACTAAAACTCACCATACTATACTAATACTGCACTATGCTATACTATACTAATGCTGTACTATACTGCACTATCCTTTACCATACTATACCAATACTACATTATACTAATACTGCACTACACTATACTAAAACTCACTATGCTATACTAATACTGCACTATACTATACTAAAACTCACTATGCTATACTAATACTGCACTATACTGTACTGTGCTTAACCATACTATACCAATACTACATTATACTAATACTGCACTATACTGTACTAAAACTCTCTATACTAAACTAATACTGCACTATACTATACTAAAACTTCACTATACTACACTAAAGCTCACGATACTATACCAATACCGCACTATACTACACTAAAACTGCACTATACTATACTATACTGTACTATACTGTACTATACTGCACTGTGCTATACGATACTATACTAATACTCTACCATACTGCACTGTGCTATACCATACTATACTAATACTGTTCTATACCGTACTATACTATAACATTACTGTACAATACTACACTGTGCTATACCATGCTATTCTAATACTGCACTTTACTGTACTATACTTAACCAATACTGTACTATACTGCACTGTGACATACCATGCTATACTAATACTACGCCATACTATACTAAAACTGCACAATACTATACTAATACTATACTAAAGTAATACTACGCTATACTAATACTTCACTATACTGCACTAATACTCCACTATACTATACAATACTGTACTCCACTACACTATACTCCACTACACTATACTATACTAAAACTGCACTATACTATACAAATACTGCACTATACTATACAATACTATACTAAACTAATACTGCACTATACTAATACTGCACTGTTCTATATTATAGTATTATATATATATATATATATATATATATATATATATATATATATATATATATATATATATAAATATATATATATATATATATATATTTATTTTTTTTTTATATATTTATATAATATATATATATATATATATATATATT